GATTGTGGCAGTTGACTTTACAACTTTGGAACAGGCTAGTGATGGAAGAGAGCATGTCCTGGTTATTACGGATGTGTTCTCGAAGTACACTCAGGCTGTGCCCACCCGGGACCAGAAAGCGACTACAGTAGCTAATATTTTGGTCCATGAGTGGTTTTATAGGTTTGGTGTACCGGCACAAATCCATTCAGACCAAGGTCGGAGTTTTGAGGGTGCCGTGGTCTCCCAGCTCTGTCAGTTGTATGGAGTTAAGAAGACTCGCACTGTCCCATATCACCCTCAGGGAAATGGGCAGTGTGAGCGCTTTAATCGAACTCTTCATGACTTACTTCGCACACTGTCTTCAGAGCAGAAAAGGTCATGGACTTATCATATAGCACAGGTATGTTTTGCGTATAATACAACTCCTCACCAGACCACCGGTGAGTCACCACATTTTTTGATGTTCGGCCAAGCCCCTAGACTTCCAGTGGATTTTCTGCTTTCAGCAGTGGATGAACCTGCCAGTGGACTGGTGAGAGACTGGGTGATGGAGCATAGGGAGAGACTTGAAACAACTTTTACGAGAGTGAGGTCTCGGCTGGACAGAGCGGCTGAGCTTCGTAAAAGGCGCCATGATCAGGGAGGAAGGGATTTTGTGCTGCAGGAAGGTCAAGAAGTTTATCTGCGGGACTATGGTGTCCGTGGTCGTAATAAAATACAAAATCATTGGTCCAACATTGTTCACAAAGTAGTTAGAGCTCCTAGGGGTGATGGTGGTGTGTATACTATAGCACAGGTAGATAACCCTCTCGTGGTGAAACAAGTGCACAGGTCTCACTTAAAGTCAGTACCACCCGTAGCATGCTCTGGCCACATGGCTGATCCAGGGTTGGGGTTGTCAGATGACAACTTGGATGAGTTTTTAGCTTCCCCAATGGCAGTGGAAGAGTGGGATGTAGCCCTTATAGATGTAACTCCTGCTGCCTTGAGTCCAGCTGAAGTAGATATACCACTGGAGCCAGAGAGGTTTGTAGAAAGTCCTGTTGAAATTGGGAGTAAAGGTCCTATGTTGATTGTTAATCCCCTAATTCAAACAGGGGAGGGAAGTCGGCGTCAAACCACTCGGGCTACTGCCGGTAAACATTCTAATCCTTATCATCTACCAAGGGCCACAGCAATGGTTCAAATTGTACAGTTGGATAAAGGGGCCTGCGAATACTCCATTTCAACCTGGTCAGACCCAGGGTCGCCCTTTCCGTCCATGGTTGTAGATTGTATCATCGGGACGATGAAAGAAAAGCCAGGGGTAGAATGTAATGGGGTGACCCTTTTTGGGGGGGGGTTCCAGCCTGTGTGGGTGGATGAAGCTGGGCGGGAGTTAAGCTCACGGCCCCTTTAAAACCGCGGAGATTTCCTTTCACTTCCGTTTTTCCCTCCGGCATGGTATGCAGGCTGCGTTCTTTCGGGTCGCAAGAGCTACCTATGGTGCATTAAGCATTGAGCGCGGATTAAGTGCCGTAGACCTGCATAAGCGGAAATTCCCTTTAACTCTTGACGTGGGCCTGTGGATGTTCAAGTGCATATTTTAAGGTATGTTACCGTAGTGAAATGTTGTATTCAATTAAGTAGTGCCGGTTTTAATGATGACTCGTTCATGGCGTGATCAAGGCAGTATTGGTGATGTGTGCAGCGTTCTTACCGAGGGCCAGTTAACTGTGCTGCAGGTAAGTTTTTTATGGTATTTTGTAAGTTGTTCGCTAACCAAAAATGCAATCTTAGATAGTGTATGTGTGATTAGTGACCAAATGGGGTAATTATTTTATAGAAATCTGCCCGCTGTTGTTTTGCTGCTGGGTGGCGGTCCGTTACAGCGACCCGTGGTGCTGTGCTGCGGAAACTGGAGAAGTTGTGCGCTCAAGTCCCGCTGACTACTGTGATTTAGCAGCACGCGGTTAAGTGTGCGGGGTTTTATGTGAGCGAGCGTTGATGCGAGCGCATGTTTGTGTGAGCACAGTTTTATGCGAACGAATCTATGTGAATGTGTGTGGATATGAGTGAGCGTTGATGCGAGCGCATGGTTGTGTGAGCACAGACACAGTTTTAGGTGAATGAGTCTTTGTGTGAGTGTGTGTTGAGGCGAGCACGTGTTTGAGTGAGTTGGTGTAAGCGCGTGTTCGTTGTGTGTGTGTGTGTGTAAAAGTGTTGAGATTATTTGTTACTGGATATTTCTTTCTTTTTTTCGTATTAGTTGATTTCATTGTATTTTCTTTGATTGGGTATTTTTTTTGTTTGTTAATTGGGTTCTGGAAGTACTGTCATTATCATTGGTATTGTCATTATTCTTACCTACTGTCAAATTTCTCTGTAACCAACAAGGGCCATTAGCTGCTGGGCTTGGGAGGGTTTACTTCATTTATATGTTTGATTGGTTTATTGTGTGGGTGTGGTTATAAAATTGTATGAGGGTGTGAACTGAGGTTGTTTGAATTTAATTGGTTTTGGATTTTCTTTTTTTTCTTTCCCCCCCCCCCCACCTGCTGATTTATCCAATGGGATATTGATAGAAATGGTTTCTAAAATGTGTTGAGCGGCTGTTGAGCGGCTACACTGACGTAGGCTACGTCATGTACGTAGCCTAACTTTCTTTTTAGTAAGGCCGTGATAGGGTGTTGCAGTGTAGATTCCCATAAATCAAACAAAATCACACCATTTTTTTTCCTCCAATGTTTAATGTTTTAATGATAAATAATGCAACATTAATGCAAACCCAAATTTCAGCCTCACATAATAACTTAAATTCATCACTTATTTGTGGTATATAGTTCTTAATTTGATGTAGGCATGACTCGCTTTGGTTTCCCTGAAAATCAGGAAAGTATAAATTTCTATAAAAATTTGTGACAAAATACTCTATTTCTTCAGGGTGTTTGGAAATTTAATTGTTCATTTGCAAAGCAGAAATGCTTTTCCTTTAAGTGCAAGCGCTGCAAATGCGAGCTGCTGAAATGACGTCACAATCGTACTGCATTATATAGGTGCCTGAAGTGTACATATGAAGTAGACTCGCTCCCTAGGTCAAAATCGAGGGAAGGAGGGTCTGTCCATATAAACTTCCACTTCAAAATGGCGGCAGGGATTCCCCCGAGGGAAAGTGCTTAGGGAAGTTTGCAAGGGCGTGTCTAAAAGTGGACTGGAACGCAGCCCTCAAACATACTTTCACACTTACTTCCTGTTGCATACACGCAGTCTCAAGTGCCAAGATGGCAAGTGTTGGTATTTGGACAGGCCCTCTGATTCTACCGAATCACTTTGTCTCGCGTCTCTCATTGTATTATTGGGATAGCCAATTTATTCTAGTGATTCAATTAAAATGGCACAGCATCTGTTAGAAATTATATTACTTAAATTAAATTATAAATTCTATTACTGGAATTACTGATATGTTATCTTTGTTAAAAACATATTTCCCCCCTTAAGTAACTTTTATTTAGCTACTTTTCTGATTACATATTTAGCTTTGTAAGCTTAATTTTCCAAAGCAGCTTCCACAACACAGCTCACGAGCAGCATTCTGAAATCTAAAATGCAAATAAAACACCCTGTGGCATTGTGGACTTGAAGAACACATGCGTCGAAGGCCACAAGATCAAAAGTCCACATTAAGTGCGACATCTGGGACAAGGCCTTGGATATTCAAACACGGGCTGACAATGAATGTACCAACACACACACCCTCACCAAGCATGCCTGTGTAGTGATTTTGAGTAATGAAGAGGTAATCAAGTCAGGGCAAGAACAATTAAACCACAAAGGCCCTCTCAATCTCTGCCAAGGTTATGCTTCTTAATAACTAATGGGATGTCTTTATCTCAGGGGTTGCACTACATAATACACCACTACATCTGTTAATTGCAAGGCTGGGAGAGACACTGGAGTAATTTGTAGTAATGAATTAATGCTAGTCACTCAGTCTATATGTACTCTGCTCTAATGTTGGTGAAGGCTGTTTAGGTCTTACAATTGTCTGCATGACATTTTATCCATCATGTCATGTATTGGGATCATAATCGGGTTCCTTATTTTTTCGTATACAGGTAACAATGAATTCCTAACAGAGTGACAATGCAAGTTTGACAGAAATTGACCAAATTTTTTTTTTTTTTTTTTTTTTTTTTACAGATATATTGTTCAAAATGCAGATGGAAAATTCCGACAAAAACAAACTTTTCAAATGAGAGAACAATGAAAAAATAAAATGTATAATTTGTGCATGTGTGAAAAACGTTGGGATCAGTATGTCTTTTAAAAAAAACTTCTATTCAGGACATTTATAATGGTACAAGACTGAGATTTCTATTACATAAAAAAAAAATAATTAGGCTAATCATCCTTAACATAGAAACTCAAACAGCAAGTGTCATGTGACACTGACTACTGAAGTTTAGCCTTTTTAAAAATATATTAAAATAGAAAACAGTTGTTTGAAATGGCAATGTTACTGTACTGAAATCTGGATCAAAATGCAGCCTTGGAGAGTATCAGAAATTTCTTTCAAAAACATTTTTTAAAAATCTTACGGACCCCACATTTTTTAACAGTATAGCTATATATTTACTAACCCTGAGCAATTTTAGATACAGTTTCCTAAATAATGTATTATTTACATATTCAAATAGACGCTACGATTTATTATGAATCATATTTCAACAAAAATACAGATTAATACAGATTATTTATTACAAACTAAAATTCCCAATGTAGGCTAAGTACGAACGGGTGGTTCACATAATCAGCCTTAAAATGACTGGCTGACATTATACGTTACTTGACGAATTACTTTTATTTTGAAACTTAAAGCGCGGAAGCTGGGTGGGCATGCGCTGTGCTTTGTTGTTTTTTTATGTGCTATGTTGTCAAACAAAACTCGTCCTATGAAAATACAAACTGTTGTCCGATATGTGAAAAGTAAGTAACGGTGAATGATAAGTAGGCATATAATTTGTTACGTGCATATTTGTTATACCTTACTGAATGGCTTTAGTTTATCAAATCTGTCAGGTATTGAAGATCGTTTTAAACAACTGTAGCCTTATGTTGGTTGGTCGCACAGACTATATGAAGGGTAAGTTACACATGGACTGACTGAAATGTGTATCTCTTCTCTTATCAGTATTCTCCAAACCAAACAACTCACAGACTTTAATATTAATCTTTAATGAAAATGCCTATTTCTTCTGGACACAGGTATGACGGTGGTGAATGTATCATTTGCTGCGGCTGGGTTTTTAGGAGCATATCATCTGGGGGTAACAGAGGCGTTACTGAGACACGGAGATAAACTGCTGTCCTCTTTAAAAGCCTGCGCCGGAGCTTCAGCTGGTGCTTTAGTGGCCACTGTGATGATCACTGCTCCTGATAAACTACAGGTAACGATATTCAGTTACAACCCAGAACATGTTACAACAGGGCCGCTGGAAGTAATTTTGAACAGGGGGTGCTGTGAATAATATTTTTTTTTGACAAAACCCCTATGAGCACAGCAATACCATTGGATTTTTGTTAGAACTGTGTGTGAGTGGACCTCTGTCCCTCTAGGGGGGTTCGGGGGCATGCTCCCCCGTAAGAAAATTGTGTACTTTTTAATGTTAAATTCATCAATCTGGTGCACTTTGAGAGTTGAAAATTAAAAGCTCCAACCCATATTCAGTGTGCAAATTAAACAAAGAAAAATTAAAACCTCTTTTAGTTACAGTGTCTTTCTACATTACTACTACATAAAAATAGTTATAATATTAATCCCATGATAGTAATAGCCATATGTTGTCAAACAAATGCACTGAAAAATAAAGGAAACTTTCATAATTCGTTTTGTACTAATTTCTATATTTGAAAGAGTATATTTCTATACTTCACATTAAAGATGTGATTGGGCAAGCCCAGTGTCAATCAAGAAAATAACCAATGGGCCGCTGATTTAGGTGTTTCATGGGATGTCAGAAAAAAAACTAACGCTGACTTTTTTTTGGACCAAATGCATTTACACCGGCTCTAATCCAGCGCCAAAACGAATGGGCCGCCGATGTACGAGTTTTATGGGCCGTTAAGACAAAAAACATAACAAAAAAAGTATGAGATGTATCGGCCCAAAAAGCACGTCGGCCCACCGGGAATCTCCCGTTATTCCCGATGGCATTAGCCTATGCCTGGACGTCACTCACCTGTTGCCTTCACCATCCACTTATTTAGTTGCTGTCGCATCAATTGACACGCAATCTCCTTTCCCCTCTTTCTTTTTAAATTTTTAGCCCCCGACAGATTTTTTGCTTTATCCATCTTTTTTGACGACAACTCGCTACTCGTTCCTGCTCGCTCAGCGCTCAGCGCTCACGGCGCCCGCGCCCGCTCGCGATATTATCCCCCCCCCCACACCCCCCTCTTCTATGTCAAAATTATATGATGGAATCTTATGAGGGCGCCTAGCCTGTTAGTCCTCTAAAATGTTTTATAACATTGAGGAAATGCATAAATGATTAAATCATCATTTATGATTAAATGATTAAATCATCATTTATGATTTAGAAACGCACAACAGCAGCTACATATAGAAAATATAATCAAACGTATAATGTGCATCATTTATTACACGTTTTATCCTGTTGTTGACGTTAGCCTACATAACATCCAGGTTGCTGCCACCTGTCTCCATAAATGAACAATTAACTAACATTATTGGTTAATAACAGTGGGTTAAATAATGACATTTGCAACATCACGGTCTGTATCTGACAGGACAGTTAACATTGTCAGCTAACTTGCCTCAGGCTTGTTTTCCGATGTGCAGTTCTTTGTTCGGCACTGTGTCCAGTTGTTAGACTCGCCGTGTAAAAGACTTTGAAAACAATTCTGCCCAGGTACTCTGACTCGGATTGGCTGCCAGGTCTCAGCAATAAGAATGATGATTTTTAAAGCTGCGAAATTTATGGTAGATATAGCGGGTAAATGCTGGCCACGGCCACGTTCCCCACACTTTCTGTCTCCATCTCCAACCTTTTTACACAAACCACAAGGAATCTCCGAAAAAAAATAATAATAATCAGAAATCCGTTTCTGTGCCATATTTCCTCCTCGTTTCTGTTATTAGACTATATAGGCTACTAGTCTGCTGCTGCCATGGCCCATGGATGGATGTATGCTGCATGGAACGAGCGGGAAACCTCTTTACTCGGCGACACTAGCCTGCCTGCCATGACGGTGACAACATAACTTCCGAACCTGTGTTGATTAGGCCTCAAAATAATGAAATTAAAATCCAAAATACACGTAATAGCCTACGTGTGTCAAAAATCTCAAAATCATTTCCTAAAATATTAATAAGGAATTTATAAATTGTGCAAAATATTTTTATTACATTTTAAAAAAAATTCCCTCTCGCCAATAGGGGGTGCTGCAGCACCCCCAGCACCCCCACTTCCCGCGGCCGTGTGTTACAACAACGGTTTTCTGGTCAACAAACCTAACAATGTGTTAAAAATGAAGTGCCAGCAACGTTCATTTAAAAATGTTGCTTATTTTACTAAAAGAGTTGCATGCACAACTTCAAACATGAAAACATTTATTATTATTATTATTAATATTATTGCCTTTATTGTCATTGCATAACAACGAAATTTAAATTGCTGGTGGTGACACATAATATAAGACAACACTAATACATAAACACATTATATAAAAAAATAATAATAATATAAAAAAATATATATATAGTAATTAAAAATGCAGTGCAGTCCAAATGGTCATGAGTACTAGAATACATTTAGAAATATTCCAGCTTTTCTTATTTTTCTTTTAAATTATCAAAGTCACAAAGAAGTATTGGCAATAGATTTTATGAATTCTCTGATACAATTACATGCATCACTATAATACAAAAAATTCATAGCATTATTCTTTATCGTTTATCGTTTTCAAGTGCCTGAGCTTCACTAAAGTATATTTATGAATGTCTGCTGTACCCTTTTGAGAAACTAAAATGCAGACAAATCCATTATTTTTATTTGATTTGATTTTTCTAAGTAACATAGCTCAAAAGGGACTGCATATCAGCAGTGTCCCTCATTGTGTTTGGGAAAACCGACTGACCTGTTTAGACTTGAAAGTGATTGATTGTGTTCCCTGTCAAGCCAACAGATCTGTAGAAACCACAGATTTCTCACAGTTGCATCACCAAGGCTCAAGCATGTAACTGACTGAGCTCCTTACCTATATGTTCTGACTTTGTGTTTTCTTACAGCATTGTAAGGAATTCACCTACAGGTTTGCCAGTAATGTGAGAAGTCAGAGATTTGGAGCTGTGACGCCAGGATATGACTTCATGCTTGAACTGAGGTAAATGCGGCTCTCAGACTCTAATTTCTTGATCGAACGAAAATGATTCACTAGGTTGAAATTAACCCCAGAGGGTTTTTTTGCAACCTTTTCTCCTGCATGCAGAATTTTAATCAGAAAGGCTGTCTTGGTAAGATATCCTACTCAGCTGTTTCTTTCACTCAACTATATTCACCTCATTTCAAATCGAAGAATTAAATTTCAAAATGGTGTTAGAATATTGCGATAGATAGTACTGAGGCTGGATCAAAATTACCCTGCACTGAAAACACCTTGTTACATTTTTTTTTTTTTTTTTTGCAAATGGCAGAAAGTCTCTTATTTGTTACTGTTGTTATGCTTTTATGTTTTTCTCTGATGCCATTGCAGTGTTTTAAATAAAATGCATTTGTAAAATAATAGGTGTCCAATTTCTTCAAATTGACGTTGTGGAGACTTTTTCAGTTTCTGTGAAACGATACTGGTTACTAACATAACCTCGGTTCTCTCTAGAAGAGGGAACGAGTATTGCGTAAGTTTAGCTTACGCTACGGGAAAGATTCATCTTCTCGAGATATTGAAGCCAAAAAATTAACCTTAATTTTGTATATGTTGTCAACGCAGTGCAGCAGCTAGCAGACCTAGAGCGGGCATTCTAGCGCGCTCATAGGCTGCCCTGCGGGAACTGCACAGCCTACCAGTGAGCCCGACGTGACGTCACGTCCGAGCACCCTCGCCGCGTCCTAGCCCGCCAATATGGGCGTGGCTTAGCCTATATAAGCGGGTCTCGGAGGCTGATTCTCTGGTTTTCATCGACTGAAGCGAAATAGCGCTTGTGGCGTTTAGCACGGCAGGTTTACACAATACTCGTTCCCTCTTCTAGAGAGAACCGAGGTTACGTTAGTAACCAGTATCGTTCTCTTACGAGAGTTTCTCTCGTATTGCGTAAGTTTAGCTTACGCTACGGGAACCCATTGTCCACGCCGTGCGCGCCCGCATCCACCTCATGAGTCACAACACTTCTGTGAACCCAGAAAGTGGGAACAACACGCATGTACATAAGCGCGAGCATAAGCGCGAGTACTATGAGCGTATAAGCGCGTGTAAACAAGCACTGACTGGCAATACAGAGCGGCCATGTGTGGCCAGTGTATAGGCATATATAGCACATAACCTGAAACAGTGCAGCTCAACCAGAAGAGCTGAATTCACGTGAGGGTAGTCTGCGCATGATAGTATCTGGAAAGGGCTAGCCTCTCACTTAAACAGACAGCAGTTTCGCCTGCAGGGCGGGAACTTCTAGGTTATAAAACCTGACAAAGGTGGACGGGGAGGACCAGCCCGCCGCCACACATATGTCTTGAATGGAAATTCCGCTTGACCATGCCCACGACGAGGCCACGCCTCTAGTGGAATGAGCCCTGATGCCCAAGGGGCACTGCAGACCTTTTGCCGTGTAAGCGGCTGCGATTGCGTCTACTATCCACCTGGACAGGCTCTGTTTCGAGGAGGCGCGACCTTTAGTGCGCCCACCGAACGAAACAAACAGCTGCTCAGAGCGCCTGAATGGGGCGGAGCGCGTAATGTACAATCTCAGAGCTCTGACTGGGCAGAGGAGATTAACATCACTTTCACTATCGGATGCTGGCTGAGCCGATAGAGAAATGACCTGTGCTCTGAATGGGGTGCCAACCAATTTGGGAACGTAACCATGTCTAGGCTTGAGGATGACTTTAGAGTCATTCGGGCCAAACTCAAGACACGACGCGCTTACAGACAGCGCGTGTAAATCCCCCACGCGTTTGACTGATGACAGTGCGATCAGAAAAACAGCTTTGAGCGACAGGTATTTCAGGTCCGCTGTGTCCAGGGGTTCAAAGGGGAATGCTTTCAGGGCCTCTAGGACCAGTGAAAAGGTCCTACATAGGAACCGAGGGGGGGGCGCGGGGGGTTCATCCTTCTGGCTCCTCTGAGGAAGCGGATGATAAGCTCGTTTCTGCCTATTGACTGGCCATGCATTGATTCAGAGAATGCTGCGACAGCCGCCACATAGACTTTGAGCGTGGAGGGGGATCTGCCCCTATCCAGCAGCTCCTGAAGGAAACTGAGCAGCCGTGGGACCCCACACGTTCGCGGATCCAGGTTTTTGCTAGTCCACCACTTAGAGAACACAGACCATTTGGACGCGTAGAGCCTTCTGGTAGAAGTAGGGCTGGGCGATAAAACGATAACGATAATTATCGCGATATAATTTTTCTCGATAAAACGATATCAAGAGGTCGATAAATGTTCGATAATGTTTATGCGCCAAAAGCGGAACGAAACTAATTTGAACCGCGCGCGCCTCACGGACTGTTTATCCGCTTGGCTCAAAGTCCAAACGGCAGCGCAGCGCGAGCTCACTAGAGCAGACGCGTTTACTCTGATCGTCTCGCTCACGAGATCCAGTGAGAAGCGCTTGAGTTCAGCGAAGAACACAAATGTTTAAAGACAGATGAAACACCGCTGACAAACAGGAGAAACAATGCGCGCAACGATACAGTCAGAATCTGAATTGATACTGAATCCATTTAGCCTACCATGGATTTACTGTAAGGTTAGCCTAGTAATATTAACTGCACCATGAAATGTGGGATATACATATTGAATTGTATAATATTATTAATGTAGACAATGTATTAAATGACTAATGGAATATAATTACAGTATTTAATTATGTATTTAACTGTTAGGCTACTGTTTTTCATACAAATAGGCCTACCATAGAAACCATAAAGTTACATTTTGCCATGATAGTGAGGTGCTAAGTTATAGGCTATGACTGGTTTTCTCTGTGGTTATCATGATCTAAATGCATGATACTGGATGACCAATGGTTTTTAATAAAACTCAAACAGTCAGAATATTACATTTTACCAAATAAAAATGTGGTCGTTACATTTTTTTTTTTTAAACAGATGTTACTGTTTTTGTTAATGAACATACATTTAACATAGTAGTATTAGCATTGAGTTAGGATGCAGATTTACTGTCAACTCACTGTCAAATATGCATTTCGAGACAAAACATGTCATTTGAATATTGCAGCATGCACTGCAAACTGTGCTAAAGAAATATTTTTCTATTAAGATATTAATTTTGTTAAGGAAAAATGACAAATGTTTAAATGTTCTACCTCAGATTTGTGAAATGTTCACCTGTTTGGCAAGTGTTTGTCATGAAATGTTCTGACAATAAAGAGTAGTTTAAAACCACAATTAACGCTCTGGTTTATACAACTTTCACTTAGGAGCAAAAATCTGCCTTTAAACTTTGTTTAAAGATTTGACATTTATCGTGATAATTAGTGATAATCGATATCGACTGATATAAAAAAAATATCGTGATAATTTTTTTGGGCCATATCGCCCAGCCCTAGGTAGAAGGTGCTCTAGACTGCGAGAAAGTGTTCATTACTGCGTCTGGCAGGGATACCCGTTGATCACACGTGTAGCGACCAGCACTCCGGGTGGGGATGCCAGATCGAGCCGCGCGCTTGAGAGAGGAGGTCTGCTCTCAGCGGGACAGGCCATGGGGCTGTCTGTGACAGCCGCATTAGCTCTGGGAACCAAGTCTGGTTCTCCCAACGCGGGGCTATGAGGAGCACTGAATGGCGCGTTTCCCTGATTCTCTTGATCACCTGTGGTAACAGAGATACAGGAGGAAATGCATATAGCGGACGGCTGGGCCACGTTTGGGCAAGCGCGTCCCTTTCCTTCGAAAAGAACGTCGGGCAGTGAGCGTTGTCTTGTGACGCAAAAAGGTGACCCGGCACAGAATGGGTCTGAGTCCATGCATCTCCCGAGGCCATGCATCTCCCCAGGGCCTGGGCCGCAGACTTGGTAGCGCGAAGGGAGAGATCCGTCGCGCTCCTCAGGTCCGTAACGGCAGCTGGGTCCCGGCCTTTCTCGTCCCACTCGCGGAGGAGAACGGCTTGGAGAATTTGTAGAACAGCCATTGAGTGCAGGGCGGAAGCTGCTTGTCCGGCAGCGGCGTATGTGCGACCGACAAGGGCAGATGTGGTCCTGCAGGCTTTAGATGGTAGGGCAGACTTTGAGCGCCATCTCGTGGAGGGCGGGCAAAGGTGCGCTGCGACAGCTTCCTCGACCTTTGGAATGTATCCCTTCTCGGCGGTGCCGTCCACTTGGGAGAGCGACGCGCATACAGAGGAATGAAGCCTCGCGGAGAAAGGGGCATTCCACGATTTAGCCAGTTCTGAGTGCAGCTCAGGGAGGAAGGGCGCGGGCCTGGAAGCAGGCGCTTGACGGCGGCGACTCTGAAGAAAGCAGCCATCAAGCCTGTTGGGGGCGGGCTCCTGAGGCGGTGACCACTCGAGCCCGAGGCGGTCGACGGCCTGTGACAGAAGGCGCATCAGTTCGGCTTCCGCTCCAGCGCGTGTTCTCCCAGACTCCTGAATAGAAGAGGAGGCGGAGCGTTGAGAGCTCGACCAGTCCTCGCTATCCGAAGCTAGGATGGAACAGCTATCTCCTGCGGCGGGTCCATCCGCATCGTCCTCAGACTCGACGGCAGGGCGGGCCATAGCCGGCGGCTGCGTGTCAGTGAGAAGAGGCGGGGAGGGCGTCGGCGAGGCTCGAGGGAGGGACTCCGGCGAGCGCGTCGTGGCGGCGGCAGGCTCCTGCGGTCTTTGTGAACGCCGGTTCTTTTTCTTGCGCGGTGCAGCAAAGGGCGGAGAGATAGCTTCGTTCTGGAAGGCTTTGAGTCGAGCCCGCAGGGTCGACATCGGAAGATCCTCACAGTGCTCACATCCTCCCGAAGAGAGGGCAAGAGCAGCATGTTCCTGTCCCAGGCAGAGAGCGCATATAACGTGGTGGTCTCCGACGCTGAGAGGGGCTCTGCACGAGCCGCAAGTGGACCGAGACATCTTTAAAAAGACGCTCGTGTTCTTTTAGATGCTCGGATTTGCAATGAGAAAAGGATACAACGCCGGATAGCGTAGCTCGCTTCGGAAGGCTGAAGGTGGC